AAAATAAGTGGAAAATTGAAAAAAGAAATAAAGTGTGTTCATATTGTAGGATTTTTTAACTATTTTAGGATTCTTAGGAATAGGTCAATGTAGAAAAGCCAATTACTCAAAACAATAATAGCCAGTTAGATAAACACATGGTTACTTTATTAATGGTTAGAGCTACCCACAAACTTCAGAAATTTAAGGTTTAGTGATATTGTAAGGCACGAATGATTAGCAAATTTTACCAAAATGAGTCAATGAAATTCCAAATTGAAGTCATTTGTACTGCCAATTTGTGGTGAAGTTAGAAAGTAAATTCTAGTTATCAATTAATAGCATGAATATTTTAATTATTTTTGTTGTTTCCAATAACGTTATCATCATTTAAAGATGTATCACAATTGTGTAGTCTCTGAAACAAACAGTGAAATGGCTAGTTTGACATTTTTAAGATTGATATGGAGCAATAAGTATGCCTATGCCTCCCCACCTTTAACTAGGTATCATTATAAAGAGTAGGAGACTAGTGATACAAATTCCTGTTAGCCAGTAATTCTTTACTGCACAGATATCTACATATTCAAGGTCTTAGAAAACAAGCATGAGCACACACTTTGTATAAAATAGTATATACACTGTGGAAAGCACATGGGTTATTAAAAAATCTAAAACTTTATTAATTCTAAGCAATACTAGTGCATGATTAAAGGAGTCATGGTTAAAGGAGATAGGGTGAATTAGGGATGCCTGTACCTTATTTGATTTTATAGTGGTAGAAGAGAGTCACAGTGCACTTAAAAAAAAAAATAAAGACAAGACATTGCAATCTTCCCATGCATATTACATCTAACGTCCATTCAATTCTGGAAATAGAAAATCATTAAAACTCCTTACTTGCCAAAGGAAGACTATGTCTGTTTTATTAAAGTTCACAACTTATTAAATCAGTACATATGAGAAAAGGTGCCGTTTCCTCCAATAAAAAATACTTATTGTAACCAGGGCAAGAATAAAATAATTTTGCTTGCTGTAATGGCATTTATTATTTGCTTGTCAAACAATGTTAACATATAGCCAAGCAATAAGAACAAAAACAAAATATCTTCATTTTTAGAGAAATGAGGCAAATCAGAAGTTCAGTTGAGAATATTACTTATTTTTCCACATCTTGCAGTACATAAGTGTGTGATTTCCATCTACGGAACCACAGTGTGTGATTTTCATCTATAGAACCACAGCAGGCCTGTCCAGAGTCTTGTTAGGAGGATGAGCAAACAAATAACATCCATTAAAAGGCAAAACACATACACAAAAAAGAGAGTGAGATTTCTTCTTTAGGTAGTGTTAGGGCACAGATAGTCTGAGGGTGGAGGCGTGGAGAGGGGTGCAGCACCACCAGAGCTGGCGTGCCAGAGGTACGCTCTGACACCCAGAGATCCAAGTAATACAAAGAATTGCAACACACACAAAGAAGTGAAAGAAGAAAAGATTTATTTAAGAGAAGTTCACTCCCCACAGACAGGAAGTGAGCCTACACTCTAGGTGAATGTGGCCCCGTAGCGGGCCTACACGTTAGATGAGTGTGGCCCCGGCAGGCTTACACTCTAGATGAGTGTGGCCCTATAGCTTCCTTAAGCCCCAGCTAAATCCTTTCCTTGGAGATGTTGCAATCAGTAGACATGACTGCCATGAGTTCCTTATCGACCACCTGCGAATGTCTTGGAGACCCTGTGACACAGAGACCCATTAATGTCTGTCCATATTATCATAACCCTAGAGAAGGATGTGATAAGGATTCCAGCCCCTGCACCTTCCCGAAGGACATTCCTTAGAGCTAATGGAGGGTGCACCTCCCCCATCTCCCATGCATTCCCAGTGGGTAGTTTCAGGGATCCTTGACTCCCCTGTAGATAGTGCCCAATTTACTGGAAGATTGAATCCCTACCTGCTCCCCCTCTGAGGGGTCACATGTCCTGTGATCTGTAAAACTTTTGTAACTGCAAGTTTCATGACTTCTACAATCCTTGCCCAATGCATGAGGTCTTAGGCCTTGTAAATTCCCTCTACTCTAGGCAAGCCTGATTGCCACTTCTGCCAGGCCCCACTGACAAAAGCTATGAGACACCTCTGATACCTGGTACCAGGAAGTCTGTGTTTCTGAAAAGACAAAGTCAGCAAGGTTAATTTTTACTTAACGTATGCATTTCTCCAAAACATAGCTTTTACTTTTTCATCATTGTGTCAGGGTTTAAGAACAAGATGAAAAATGGCTTCCCATTCTTGGTCTGTCCTTTCAGGTAGGTGAATTTTACAAATATATACATGCTTATAACAACTAACTTCTGCTCACCACCTTGCCAGTAACCCTAAAGACAGCAAGTGTTGAGTGCGGGCAAAATGGCAGACATTTTTTTTTTTAAATGATGTGTTTTCTGAGTCTGGAAACCCAAACTCTCAAGGATGGGACTGGTCAATGGGGAACCAGCCCACCAGGACAGGGGTTATCCAGGGGTCTCCTATCCTTATCCTGGGATGTATCCTGAACAGGCACCTCTGAGGGCCGTCCCTCGACAGGCTCCTCGGACCACCCACTTTGGTCCAATAGCACCTGGAGCTTATTCCAGACCACCTGCACCCAGAGCCTACCCAGGCCACTGGAGGGGCCTGGGGCCTATCTGCCTCCTGCACAGCCAAGTGCTCCCAGAGCTTTCCCTGCTGCTGGCCCCTTCGATGCCCCTGCTGGGCCACTGACTATACCTTACGACCTGCCTCTGACCACAGGAGTCATGCCTCGCATGCTGATTACAAACCTTAGCACAGGCCTGGCGCAGTGGCTCATGCCTATTATCACAGCACTTTGGGAGGCCGAGATGAGAGGATTCACAATCAGGCTGGGCAACTTGGAGAGATCTCATCTCTACAATAAATCAAAGAAAGACATGCGCATCTCGCATTTGAAAGTGGCAAACCATTCAAGATGCAAGTTCCGGTTAAATCTGACCATTTCAAGGTTGCAGTCAATGATGGCTCACTTGTTGCAGTACAATCATCTGATAAGAAATCTCAATGAAATCAGCAAACTGAAAATTGCTGTTGACATACACCTCACCAGTGCTTTGCACACTGTGATATCATCTGAAAGGGGCAGCCAGGTATGGTGGTGCATGCCTATAGTTTCAGCCACTTGGAAGGCTGAGGTGGAAGGGTCGCCTGAGCCCAGCAGGTTGAGGCTGTGGTGACTTTGAGTGTGCCCACTGTACTCCAGCTAGCCGGGGCAACAGAGTGAGACTCTGACTCAAAAAAAAAAAAAAAGCAACAACAAAAAAAACTTGGGCATGGTGAAACCCAATGCAAACCGAATTGCTTTAGATTTCAGGAAAGGGAATGATGTTGCCTTCCACTTTATCCCACGCTTCAAGGAGGACAACAGGAGAGTCGTTTGCAATTCCAAGGTGCATGAGGCCTGGGGAAAGGAAGAAAGACATGCACAATTCCCACTGGAAAGGGGTAAACCATTCAAGCTGCAAGTTCCAGTTGAATCTGACCATTTCAAGGTTGCAGTCAATGATGGCTCACTTGTTGCAATACAATCATCTGATGAAAAAATCTCAATGAAATCAGCAAACTGGGAATTGCTGTTGACATAGACCTCACCAGTGCTTCGCACACTGTGATATCATCTGAAAGGGGCGGATGCATTTTTCTGATTAAAATTGTATCTAAACCTTATACATGTAAAAGTACATATTCAGCATGAATGAAAAATTTTACTTTTATTCATCAATATCCTTCTAGTAAGTCATCCGTTTGATAAATATTCTTATACTAAAAAAAAAAAAAAAAAAGCTAACTTTCATTCTTTTTTTTTTAATACTCAGATCTTTGGTAGCAATCCTTAGGAGACCCACTCTAGATTTTAAAAGTAGTAATTTGTTAAAGCATGCAAAATGATATGAGTGAATAAAAACCACAACTGACAAATATATTGGTTAACTTTCCAAACATGTATAATCAGTGAACATGGCCTAGGTGTTTCTTTTTTATTGGTATTCACTTCAGTAACTTGAAACCACAGATATAAGCAGTATATAACCAAAAAGTTACAAGTAAACAGATTATACATGCAAATTTCTGCCCACAAAGTTCACATGTGCGGGTACGTGAATTAGAAGCGTGCATCTAGAATTATGGCCAAACTTTTTAAAATGCAGAAATGTAAAATTACATCCTGAAAATATGACAAGATGGTCTATACACACTTCAAAAATCAAATATTGCTTATACCAGAGATGTATGACAGCTACAGGATTCAAGCAACAAGCAGTAAGATCTCAAAAATTAATACTGGTCAAAGAGAATGGGAATATTTTTACATTTCACTGAAAATACATTGACTACTAGAATACAAAATCTAGCAGGAACTCAAGGAAAAAAATTACAAAATCTAAAGCCAATTACTTAATATTTCTTATTACCTAAACAACAGCATGACATTGAAAGAAAACTGCACCTGCAATTAAATTGCCAATCTCACATTAATGAAGTTATCCAAAAAGGAAAGGCAACCGAAAAAGCTTCAAACTCCAAATGAAAGTCTGCAAGGCTCAGATTAAAATGTGGAATGTTTCAGATGAAAGTGATAAAAATACAATTGGTTTTGTTCTTTATTGAATGCAATAAAATGTTGACATTTCTTTGAAGCTTGCAACTCTAAATTTCATTTTTCTGAATGGTTCTATGTTATCGTTTTCCTGGTGGTGCAAGTTGTTTTAAGTAGCATATGAAGTCAGTCTCTACAAAGTACTTCTGTCTGTTGCCATTCTGATAAAAAACTATTCTTCATTAACTTAACTGTGTATGTTTCTGCTATAACACTTAACACATGAACAGACATCTATTATTTCTTCACTAAAATAAAAAGTACAATAGTTTTCTTCTATCAGTATTGTATTTTTAGAAGGTTAACAAAAACAAAGAAGCATTGTTTTCTTTGAAATCATTAAATCTTGCACATCTTAAATTTCCTTCTTCTGTCTGCATTCTTCCGCCAATTTATTCAGAAATTTCCTTAATTTCTGATAATGAGGAAGGCTGCTATAATGAATATTCTTTGCAACTTCTTCATTTGTATAAAAGAGTGATCACAGCTTACAGTAAAAACCTGTTTTAGGTATCACACAGTCTATACCAACAGGAACATTGGGTTGATATGGTCCAATTCTATACTCATCTGGGATTGTATAGTCTTCCTTGTTCTTATCACTTTGGACATCTACATTTTCACTTGTATCTTTGTTGGGATCATCAGTCTTCTCAGCAGATTCAGCACCTGGTTCTGCATTTTCCTCATTTTTAATTCCATTTTCCAGTGCTCCTTCATTTTCTGGATTGAGTTCCTCGATCTTGTCCACCTTCATTTCAACCAAATCATCACCATTTCTGTCACCAGATTTAAATGCCATGCCTGATTTACGAAGTTTCTGAAGTTCCGAATCTTCCTCATCACCAACCTCATCTAGAGTGACAAAACCTTCCATGCTCCCTGGGAAATGATGCTTTTTAAGTTTTTTCTTTGCTGTTGCTGAAGCACTTGCATCTTTTGCCCCAGCTTTTTCTGAAGGTCCCTTTTTCCCATCAGAAGTCACATCCCCTAAATTAGCAAGATCAGTTTCATCCCCCACTGAACTGCCACTTTCTAGCAGTGCTGCTGCTGCTTCTTCATCTACAAGTAGTTCATCTTCAGATTCAAGAAGCATATTGGGTTCATGCTCTGTCTGGTCATCCTTTGTATCTTTCTCACCATCTTCACCTGACTTCTCTTCTTGTTATTGATCTTCGGTTGAACTTTCAGTCTTCTGGGAACCATCAGTTTTGGATTTCTTATCACTTGGAGATTCTTTGTCATCTGGAGAATAAGATCTTTGACAGGATTTATCTTTTTTCAGTAAGTCAATGCCTCTGTTAGGAATCCTCAGTACCAGTTTTTTATATTTCTCAGATAGGTCAACCTTCACACATCTCCCCTGAAACCAAAGGGCTTTTTTCAAACAGTGGTCAACCATCGCCATTGCATCTTCTCTTGTCTCCATCTCAATAAAGGCCTGGCTTTTCATTCTCATCAATATATCATTCTTTATTTTCAGCAAGCCTGAGGACAGCACAGTCAGAATAGCCAGAATGGAGTAAATTGCTGAGATGTATCACACGTCCAAGCTCTTGCTTTTGATGAAACTTCTGATCGGTTTCCCTTCGGGCTTCTTTATTCTTTTATATTTCTGGGACAAATGAACCCTCACTCGCTTGCCAAATCCTAATGCTGGCATGGTTGTATAATAATCAACTGCAGCTTGAGCATCTTCTGTAGTTGCCATTTCAGTAAATGCCTCATTAATTTTATTCAGAATCAGATGATTTGAAATGACTCCAAATGGTTCCACCAGCTGTAACAACTGATATCTCAAGTTTTTCCCTTGTTGAAAATCTGTGATGTGAACAACTCGGCTAGTTTTCACTCTGCCTTTTTACATGTGTCTAGGTCCTTGTAAGTTCCCATTTCCAGCACCCAGATTTCCTCTTGGTCCAACTCCTGGTCCTCCAAAATGAAATGAGGGAGGTGGCGGTCCCAGAATTTCTGGTGCTGGGTTGGTAGATTGCTGCAACATGAATGAATCACCCGTTGTGTGTCCTGTATCACTGTCAGGATTCCATTCTGGGTAGATTTCAAGAAGAAGCCGGCATCGGTGACTGTGACTTGTTCCATTGATATGCTGACTCCACTCCTTATTAGAACGAACTGGCAAATCACATATAGAGCACAGATGGGGATAACCTTTCGGTAAGAGTCCATGACAGTCTTCAATGTTGCTACTTGGAGGCGCGCCCTTCTCTTTCTTATATTCTTATACTAAGAATATTATTTTCTTATATTCTTATACTAAGAAAAAAAGCCAACTAACTTTCATTCACATTTTTTTTAATTGAACATTATTAGAATTCCAGAACCCTCCCTTATGATGATTGCCACAAAAGTCAATCAAGATTCTGACTTTTATCACTTAAGAATATTTTTGTTTATCTCCTAGCTTTCTGTGGGACAACTTCCTGAACTCGTTTCTGAATTTTAGCCAACATTTTATTTGTGAGAGTCATCCTTTTGTGTGCACAGAAGCTAATTCTTTTTCACTGTTCTACTAAGGGGTTTCTTGGGGCTTTCTCAGCCTTGACACCCTTGACATTTTGGGCTGCATAATTCTTTGTTGTGGGATGTCTTGTGACTTGTAGGCTGTTTTCAAGCATCCCTGGCCCCCACCCACTTGATGCCAGTAGCACCTGCTGTTAACCAACCAGGCACGACAACAAACTATATCTCCAGACATTGCCAAATGTCCCCTGAGTACAAAATTGCCCTCTATTGAGAACTACTGAGCTGAAATAATTAAATCAGTCTCTATCGAATCGTATTCCAGTTTTGTAATAGATGTTTTAGGTCTAAACAGCTTCAAAGGCCATAAAACAGCACAAAAGCTGTCTAAGGTGTCTTAATGCCTCAAAATACATTTAAAGACTTCTCTCCCTGGGAAATATTTCAGTTTGAAACTTAAAGTAATAAAAAGCTACTTATATAATAGGCTCATTTCGAGGCAATCAGCTGCATTTCTGTTCTATCAAAACAAGAGCATGACTTTCTAAAATCTAAACTCTCAGCAGACTTCATAAGCCATGCTCAAGGAGGACAAAACCACTCTCCCAAGATGCTTTTGCAGGCTCGCTGCAGACATCACGTTTCTGCACTAGGGTCACCTGTGCTTCATGAGACAGAACAATTTCGTGGCCTGTCTAGATGCTGCTAGGCTGGGAGCATCACCAGAATCCCAGAGATGTCAAAATACTGTATGTCTCCGTTCTCCTCCTGCTCAGGCACTTCGCCATTGCCACTGTCCTGAAACCTGGGCAGAGAAATGCTCCTGGGTGCCCACCATTGAGCAACAGATCAGCACCTTGAGACTAGGAGGTAAAATCCACATCTCTCTGGGGTTGATCATTATGAACCCAAAGGGGATCCCCCCCAAGTACATAATCCCCAGAGAGACAAGGTGGGTATGGAGCTCCCTCACTCTGGCCCAACTGTGGGACAACAGGTGTAAACAGAAGAGGAGGAGCCAACCAAAGAAGGGGTAAAGGTGAGTACTCAACTGATCTAGCCCCCTTCTCCCAGCAGTCCACATAATGTCTGACCCACACAGAAGGAAGCCTGGCCAGGGCACAACCGAGGAAGCCAAACACAGGTGGAGCTGGGAACGGCTCTTACACTGAGAGGACCCTCCGGTGGGGTAAGCCTGATGATGGGTGTGCCACCAGCAACTGGGAGGAGACAATCCGGTACCTTTTCCCCAGAACAAGGCAGAGAGAGGGGATCCAGCAACCAATTGTAGGAGCCACTGCCGCCACGATTGGGGAAGTGAAACTTCACTGGACCAGAAAAAAAAAAAACCTCTGACCGCATGGAGAGCAGGAGGGTGGAAGTGGAGGCTGGGCTGAGTCAGTCAGGAGCTGAGGAGGTTGAAAATATGACAGGAAAAAAAAAACCTGAAGTTACAGAACCTGCCACAAGAGAGAGCTCAACATTCAGTTTTGGGGGGTTTGGGGTTTTTTTTTTTTTTTTTTGGTTTGGTTTTTCACTTGTTCTGTATTTTTTTCTTTCTTTTATGTATGTCTGTATGTATGTTCATTTTTTAAATTTTCCTTTTTTCTTTTTGTTCTCTTCTTTTCTTGTTCTGTCTCCTTTTCTCTGTTCTTTTCTTTTACGTTATCTTGGACTCAAGAGGTATATATATGTACCCATTTTATGGATGTATTGTGTAGTGGTGAAGAGTGGCTTTCAGGGGGCCCACACCCAAGTCAGTGAACATTGTGACCTGCAATTAGTTTCTGAATCTTAGCTATCCTCCGTCTATGTTATTCAACTCTCAAAGCAGCAAAGAGACAGCATAGTTCCCCACCCCCAGCCCTGTTTTAAAATTGAACAAATTCAGAAGCTCTGCTTAAAGAAGGATGGGGGTTGGGCAAGCAACAGAAGTGAAAGCTTCTCCCTCTCTTACTCAGTAACAGAATTAAAAAGAAAAAATCTGTCACAAATTAGGAAAAATCAAAGAAGAACACAGGTAACCCCCAGAGTCCTAAAAAGATAGCACCTGAAAAAACAGACCTCAACCTCAGAGTACAAACAATGGAGGTTTCCCAGAACAATTGGTCTCAGAACACAAATGCAGAGATTAAGAAGTGGGTAAAGAGAATGAACAAGAATCGAGAAAAACAAGAAGCAGCAATGAATGAAATTGTAACAGAGATTTTGACCATAAAAAACACCATCCACGAAATAAATAACAAACCTGGAAACCAGAATTAACCAAGCAAAGCAAAGAATCTCAGAACTTTAAGACCAAAATATGGAATTACCTTAATCTGTTAAAAACATAGCAAGAAAGCTTTTTTTAAAAAGAAGAGCAAAGATTCCAAGAGATATGAGATTATATCAAGAAACCAAACTTGCACCTGATTGGCATCCCTGAAGCAGAAGGGGGAACAGAGAACACCTTGGATTAAGAATTCCATGAGGTCATTAAAGAAAACTTTCTCCATCTAGCCTGGGAGTTGACCATCCAAGTACAAGAGATTCAGAGAACTCTTGCAAGATGTCAAATGAGAAGACTAAACTCCCTAGACACATAGTAATTCAACTACACAAGTAGGTGTAAATGAAACAAATCTTAAAGGCAGCAAGAGAGAAGAGTTGGACTACCTACTGGGGAAGACCAATCAGAATAGCACCAGACTTATTAGCAGAAACAGTACAGCTAGAAGGGGTTGGAGTCCAAATTTTAAAATTCTCAAATATAAGCACTTCCAACCAAGAACTTCCTACTCAGCTAAGCTCAGCTTCATCCATGATGGAGAATTAAAATCCTTCCCAGTATCCAATTCCTAAGAGATTATGCTGCTTCCAGACCAGCACTACAGGAGATGCTGAAGAAGGTATTGAGCACAAAAGAAAAAAGAAAGAAAGATCATGCACTTTACAAGACTACAAGTAAACACACAAAGCATGCAGTGCTTCCACAAAAATAAAAAATGAAAAAACATACATACATTAATGTCAAAGTTAAAAGAAAACAAAATAGCATCATAAGAGCCCTATGACAGGGATCAGGCTGAATATGAATGAACTAAATGCACCACTGAAAAGATATAGAGTGGCAAACTGGATTAAAAAACCATGATCCAGCAATCTGCTGCCTCCAGGAAACCCATCTCACTATGAAGTACACTTACAGACTCAAAATTGGAGACTGGAAAATTAACTTACAGTTGAATGAAAACAGAAGAAAGCATCAGATAAAACATCAGATAAAACAGCCTTCAAGCTATCAAAATTTAAAAAGGATATAGAAGGACACTATATATTGATAAAAGGTTCAATTCACCTGCAAGAAATATCCATCCTAAACATGTATGCACCCAACATAGAAGCACAAGGTTTAAAAAATCAACTGCTAAGTAAACTAAAAGAGGACACTAACTCACACACAATCATAACTGGAGACTTAAATACCCCACCAACAACCCTAGATAGAACATTAAGGCAAAAAAACCAATAAGGAGATCCAGAATATAAACTCAACACTCAGCCAAATGGACTTAGTAGGCATCTACAGAACACTTCACCCAATGACTACACAGTATACATACTACTCATAAGCACATGGAAAATACTCCAAGATTGACCACATTCTTGGACTTAAATCAAGTATAAAGAAATTCCAAAGAATCAAAATAATATCATGCATCCTCTCAGATCACAGTGGAATAAAAATATCACTACCAACAAGATACCACCAAAACACACAAAGATATGGACACTAAACAATATACTGTTGAATGACTCCTGGGTCAACATGAAAATCAAGACAGAAATTAAAATATTTCTGGAAACAGAAACACAGGCGCATCTCATAAGAATCTGTGGGATGCCATGAAAGCAGTAAGAGCAAAATTTATGGCTCTGCACACACACATCAAGAAAATGGAAAGATCATAAGTATATAGCCTAACATTACATCTAAAGGAGCTAGAAAGCAAGACCACCAAAATTGTAACTTCAACAGAAGATCCAAATTACCAAAATAAAGTAGCAGCTGCAGGGCATAAAGATAAAAATATCATAGAAAGAATCAACAGGACAAAAAGCTGGTGCTTTGAGAGGATAAATAATATCAGCAAACCCCTAGCCAGATTGACTAAGAAAGAGAGAAAAAAAAACTCAAATAAATACAATTAGAATGCAAAAGATGAAGTCACAACTGACCCAGAAGAAATTCAAAAGATTATCAGATATTACTGTGCACACCTATATGGAAATAAACTCAAAAACCTAAAGGGAATGGAGGACTTTCTGACATCACACATACCCTCCCAAGGTTGAAACAAGAAGAAATTGAAGCCCTAAGCAGACCAATAACCATACAAGAAATCAACTTTGTAATAAGATATCTACCTACAAAAACCAAACAAACAAAAAAGCGCTGATGGCTTTCCAGCTGAATTCTACAAAACTCCCAAGGCGGAGAGAGCTTATACCAATCCTATCAAAAGTATTCTGGGCAATTGAGAAAGCTAGAACTCTCCCCAAATCATTTTATGAACCTAACATCACAGTGATACAGAAACCTGGTAAAGATACAACAAGGAAGGAGAATTACAGGCTAATCTCCTTGATGAAACACAGATGCAAAAGTTCTTGATAAGTTCCTAGCAAATCAGATCCAACATCACATCTCAAGAGTCATCCACCAAGTCCACATTGGTTTCATTTCCCAGATGCAGGGCTGGTATAACATTTGAAAGTCTATAAATGTAATTCAATACATTAACAGATATAAAAACATGAATCACATGATTATATCATTAAATGCAGAAAAAACTATCGACAAAATCCAGGATCACTTCTTGATCAAAACCCTTGAACACCTCGGCATAGAAGGAACATTACTCAAAACAGTAAGAACCATCTATGATAAACCCACAGCCAACATACTGATTAATGGACAGAGTTAGAAGCATTCCCACTGAAAACAGGAACAAGACAAGGTTACCCTACACTCACCCCTCCAGTTCAACTTAGTGTTGGAAGTCCTTTCTAGAGCAATCAGGCAAAAGAGGAAATCAGGGGTATCCAAATAGGAAAAGAGGAAGTTAAGCTATCCCTCTTTGCAGACAATAAGATCCTATACTTTGAAAACCCAAGAAAGTCTACCAAAAACCTCCTTGCACTGATAAATGACTTTGATAAAGTTTCAGGGTACAAAATCATTGTGCAAAAGAGAGTGATATTTCTATACACCAGTTACAAACAGAACTAAATAAGATGAACAATCTTATTCACAATAGCCAAAAAAGAAAAAATAAATACCCTGGCATTTTCCTAACCAGAGAAGTGAAAGACCTTTACAATGAGAACTATAAAACACTGATCATATCAATCAAAGAAGACACAAACAAATGGAAAAACATTCCTTGCTTACGGAATGGAAGAATCAATATTGTCAAGATATCCGTCCTACCCAAGGCAATCTACAAATTCAACACAATACCCATCAAATTACCAACATCATTATTATCAAACCTGGAAATAACAATACAAATATTCATTTGGGGGGCAGAGCTTAAGATGGCGACAGACAGGTCGTACTGAGAGAGTCTCCGAAAAGCAAGTGTCCATAAAGACTCTCTGCTTGAATAGGCGTGCACTGGTGGGACAGTGAAAGTCCATCTGAGGGGAGATTCAGGTTCATGCACCCGCCCTCCTCCCTCCCACAGGGTGACTGTGAGCCCCCACTGTCCTGAGATAACAGTGCGGTCCCACGCAAGATCGT